AGAGCAAGACCAAAAATGAGCAGTTTCAAAGCTTAAGAATATTTATCAAATACAAAAATATTCAGCTCCCAATATGAGAAAATTCCCAATATCTGGAAAACCCAATAAAAAATTATCAGACATGCAAAGAGGCAGAAAAATACAACCCAAATTAGGATAAAAATCAATCAATCAGAACCGATTCAGAACTCACAGAGATATTATAATTAGCAAACAAGGATATTTAAATATTTAAAACTGTATTTCATATGTTCAAAAAGCTAGGGGGAACACCGAACATATTAAGTCAAGATCTGGAAGATATAAAATAAACCCGAATAGAACTACTAGAGATGGTAAGTACAATATCCAGGATGAAAAATACACCGAGTGTGGTTAATGGCAGATCAGACACTGCAGAGGAAAAGACGAGTGAATCTGAAGACACGGCAACACAAACTAGCTAAAATGAAGCACACGGAGAAAAAAGGATTATAAATAAAAGTGAACAGAACAGTGAGCAGTGAGACAACTCTTAGCAGCCCGATACACCTGAAATTGGGGGCCCCAAAGGAGAGGATGAGAGACGAAGACAGGAAAATATTTGAAGAAATAATGAGCAAAATTCTTGTAAATATGATGAAAACTATAAATCCAGAGATCCAAGAAGCTCAATGAGCCCCAAACAACAACAACAACAAAAAAAATAGTTAAAGAGCAATTCTGGGAGACTGGAGGTAGCAGCAGACTAGATTTTTAAGTCTCCTCCATTCCCCACATCAAAACAGACGGGCAACCAGAGAAGTAAAACTGAAGCCCACAGACAACATCCACAATTGACCCAGCCTCGAAGAAGCCCAACAGCGGAGTGATTCCCTCAGAGTTTATAACTAATTCGATTAGAAGGTCTTCAAACATAACCACCAGCTTTGTTTCCAGTGCCACAGAACTGTATCATAATTCAAACATTTGAAAATTCCTTTCCAGAAAAGGCAATTACATTTTTCCCTTAAAGCTAGCTGTACAAGTTCATTCTCTAAGGAAATTATTGAGGTATTTTTACAGACATGGGCAAACTATGCTGATGATATATTACTCCTGCCCTTTGAAGTAACTTAAAGAAAAGTTCGAGTACAGACTTTGGCCTCCGGATCCATGGATTCAACCAACCACAGACAGAAAATATTTGGGAAAAAAATGGTTGTGTCTGTACCGAACATGTATAGACCTTTTTCTTGTTGTTATTTCCTAAACAATACAGTGTAACAACTATTTACAGAGCATTTACATTTTATTAGGTATTGTAAGTAATCTAGAGATGATTTAAAGCATACAGGAAGATGGGTACAGGTTATATGCAAATATATTTCATATAAGGGACTTGGGCATCTGTGGATTTTGGTATCCTCAGGGGGTCCTGGAACCAATCCCCCGATTGATACCAAGGGATAACTATAATCATGTTTATATCTAGTTATAAGATACACTTAATTTATAATCTAGGATTCTTTCATATTTATGTTTCTTAAAGATTGATATTTGTTTTATTTTTAAAATGTTAACTATGAATATATGTCAAAGAAGGAAAGATACTAGATTTAAAGCAGGGAATGGGCTGGAAATAAACTTGACTCTTTGTTTAGCAGTTTTAAATTATGTGCCCTAGGCCTCAATGCATTCAACTTTATCAAATAAAATTGGAAATGTATTCCAAACCGACTCTGAAGGAAAATACATGCCTATCACCCCCCACTTGCAGGGGATTCTAGCAGACATCCTGGCAATACTCAAGTATACGGGGCACCGTACACTGCAGTGCCACTTACATAAGGTGGATTATTGATGTACACATCGGTGATAAACAGAAATCCTGAGGACAATCTGGTAAGCACAAAATTCAAAAACTGAAAGAACAAAACAATTAAAACCATCAAATGCACTGCCTCTATGAAAAGAAGGAAAATACTTAAAGATGTAGTTTGTCCCAAAGAAATCAACTAAGTTTTGGTACCTGAATATTTTTAGATATCTCAGAGAATCCTAAGAGACCATGAAAATGGAGGTCAGCGTATCGAGTTCTAGGCCAAAGAAATAAATGTGCTGCTCCCACTAATTGTAAAATTAAATTCAACAGGACCAGTTTCCATAACCTAGAATCTTAACTCTTAAAGAAAATCACTCCCAAGTCGCAGATTCACCAGCCCCTTTGTGCCAGGACTCAGGAGCCGCAGCGGAACAGAGAACGCCAAGTTCTCCCTGAACACCTGGCGTCACTCGCTAGAGCGAAGCCAGCAGGAGGACGGAGGCACAAGACATTCCCCAACACAGAATTATACACTGGTTCGTTCCCTATCTTTCCACATGGAACCAGCAGAAAAAAAGACTAATCACCTGTGATCTAGGCATCCGAGAACTAACTTTCAGCTGGTGAGATCTCCAGGGGCCCAGAGCCAAGGCTCAATATTGATTCAGGGCAGACTTCTGAACACCCCCTTTTCCCTCTCCCCCCCCCCACTTCACTACAGATGGAATTCTCCATCTGGACACTGGTCTAAACAAGAGGCGCTGAGGCAGGGTACTGGCCACAGAAGACGCCCAGCCAACCATGCACTAAACTGACAACCGCAGTAGCTCTTCAACCACCTACACTAAGTGGACTTGTCCCCCACAGGGCAGGCTCTCTGCCTCTGCTGGCGGCCCTTGCTGCTTGCAGCCAACTGTAACTCCCTTTCTTAAGGTCACATACTGAGATCACAGATTCACAACTCTCAGTGCTTCGGGGTGAGAAGAAAGACGGCTACACTAACAGTGCAAAACAGGGCTGGCAGTCAACCCTTAATTCTTGGACCCCACGCTTGCAGAGCACCACATGACATGCCCTTTTAGGAGTCACCGACAGAACAAGCCACAGGTGCTCAGTCAGGGAGCTGTCAAGTAACTCAGCTGACTCCTGGCTGAAGCACAGGTGACACATTGCTGGGCCACACTTTATCACCGTCCTATTCTACACCTCTGTACAAAGCACAAACCCAACTAACTGGTTTCAAGTAAAGCAATCTGTGATGATTATTGTACCGGACTAAGTATTCTTCCTCGAGAACAGATGGAAGCCATGCCGTGTGCCTGGAAAGTCAGCTCTCTGGAAACACTTACTTGAAGGAGACGTGGGTGGCTTCCTGGCGGGCTGCCGCTCAACCATGGGGCCATCGACGTGCTCGGTGGGTGTGTCCAGGTGTTCTTCTGAGCCCATCGAGAACTGGAACTGGACTGTTCCCGACTCCACCTGCTTCACCTACGACAGACCACAAGAGCAATGATGGCCACTCCCTTCATCAGCACTCTTTCGTCAGAATAATTCAACAAGAACAATACATCCGCCTTCAGACAAAACCTAGGCAAAATCAAAGATTTCCAAAGCCACGTGTTCTTAGATGATAATCAAGCAGTTTTCTGAGCAGAAAACAATGGGCTGTGGCACTAAAAACTCTGATGACCACATGATCATGAAATGACCCTGACCCAAGTAAAAATCACAGTATCTCTCAAGTTTTGCATGTGTTTTTAATTAAACTATGCAAAATTGACTTTATTATGGTATACGGTTCTGTAGGTTTTAACACGTCTAGATGCCTGTAACCAGCCCCGCCCCAACACCACAAAACGGTCCCCGCACTGCCCTCCTGGCGACACTGGCCGCTTCCCAGCACTGCAGCCTGGCTTTCTGTGAACGTCACATAAATGGAATCGTGACACATCGCTTCTGAGACTGGCTGCTTCTGTTTAACATACGCTGATGAGACTCACCCAAGTTGTGGCATATACAGCAATACTCAGTTCCTTTCATTACTGAGTAACGCTATTGTAAGCACGTACCACAGTTCATTCATCCACTCCCCCATTTAAAAACACTGGGTTGTTTTCAGCTTGGGTGATTATAAATAAAGCTGCTACTAACACTGCTGTACAGATTTCAGTGTGAACATAAGTTTTCATTTCTCCAAAGAGCAGGACTGCCAGGTCATACGACATATGCATATTTAAATTTATAAGGCACTTCCAAGCCGTAATTTATTTCTGGACTCTCTACGTGCCAATCCCTTGACCAACAGCACTCTAGATTGATTAACATAGTTTTATGGTAAGTTTCCAAATGTGTCGTATGATTCCTCCAAGTTTATTGTTCTTTTTTAAAGCTGTTTTGACTCTTCCAATTCCTTAGCCTTGTCATACAAATTTTAGCATCAGCTATATCTACCAAAAAAAAAAAAAAAAATCCTGCTGGGATTTTGATTGAAATTGCGCAAAATCTATAGATCAATTTTGGGGAGAACTGGCATCTTTACTATGTTGAGTCTTCCAACACATAATGACATTTATGTCTCTCCAGTTATACAGATCTTCTTTGATTTCACCTGAGGGTAACCCCAAGGACATCCAGCAAAAGGAAAGTTTTATAGTTTTCAGCATATAGATCCTGTACATATTTGCTAAATTTATTTCATTTAGGGGAAGGCTTTGTAAATAATTTTTTTATATTTTGCTTTCCAATTCTAGTATATAGAAATATGATTGGTTTTTTCACGTTGACCTCCTGTGTTATCCTGAAAGCTCATAAACTCATTCATTCTAGGAGGTTCTTTTTGTAGACTCCTTGGGATCTTCTACAGAGATGATCATGTTGTTTGCAAATAAGGACAATTGTATTTCTTCCTTTGAATGCGCATGTCTTTTATTTTCCTGACTTATTGCACTGGCTAGCACTTCTAGTACAATGCTGACGAGGACATTGAATGCCATGAGTGGACATCCTTCACTTGTCCCTAATCTTAGGAGGAAAGCATTCAGTTCTTTAACCAATAAGTATGATGTTAGCTAAAGGGTTTTTGTGAGTGATCGGGTTGAAAAAGTTTTCTTCTACTGCAGTTTCCTCAGAGTTTTTATCATAAACGGATGCTAACTACTGTCAAACGCTTGTTCTGCATCAACTGCTACGACCACATTGTTTTCCTCCTTTAGGCTGTTATTGCAGTGAGTTACATTTATCGATTTCCAAATAGAAAATACAATTGCATTCCTGGGACAAACCTCCACTTGGTCATAGTATGTTACTCTTTTTCCATGTTGTTGGATTCAATGTGCTAATTATCTTATTGAGTATTTTGCATCTCTGAATCCACAATTTTGTTTGAGGGATACAGGTTCGCAGTTTTCTTATTACTGTCTTTTTCGGGTTTGCTATCAATGTAACACTGGCCTCATTACATGAATTGAGAATTGTTCCCATCTCTTCTATTTTCTGGACTAGACTGTATAAAATTGGTATTATTCCCTCTTTAAATGTTTAGTAGAATTCATAGTGAACAGATCTGGATATTTGGGGTTTTTTAAAGTTTTTAAACTATGAGTTCAAATTCTCTGTCAGTTATAGACTACTCAGTTATCTACTTCATCTTGGCTGAATTTCAGAGTTTAGTATTAATTCATCCATTTCCTCTAAATCGTCAAATTTGTGCACATAGAATTGTTCATAGCATTCCCTCATTACCCTGTTAATATCTGTGTGGTTGGTACTGAAGTCCCTTCTTTCATTCCTAATAGTAGTAATTTGTGTCCTCTCTTCTTCTTTTTCAGTCTTGCTAGAGGTTCATCAATTTTATTTATCTTTTCAAAGAATCAGTTTTTTATTGCACTGGTTTTTCTCTACTTTTTTATTTTTAATCTATTGGTTTTTTGTTTTTAATTACATTGGTTTCTGCTCTTTATTACTTTCTTCTTGCTTTAGATTTATTTTGTTCTTCTTTTTCTAGTTTCTAAAGGCAGAAGATTACTGACTTAAAATCTTTTTTTCCTGTTCTAATATAAGCACTTAATTCTACAAATGTCCATCTAAGCATACTTTAGTTGCATCCCACAAATTTTGATATGTTGTATTTCCATTTTTATTACGTTCAAAATATCTTACATTTTCTCTTGAGGCTTCCTCTTGAACTTATGGATTATTTATGTATTGTTTAATTTCCAAGTGTTTGGAAATGTTCATGTTGTCTTTATTACTGATTTCTAGTTTAATTCGATTATAATCCAAGAATATAATAATTTCAATTCTTTTAAAATTATTAAAGTTTGTTTTATGACTCAAGATACTGTCTATCTTGGTGAATGTTCCATGTGCACGTGGACGGAGTGTGCACTCTGCTGCTGTGGGGTAAATGTCATTTACATCCAGTTGGGTGTTGACGATGTTCAGCTCTTCTGCGTCCTTGGTGATTTTCTACCTACACGTCAAAGTCTACTCAGAGAGGAGCGCTGAAGTCTCCAACTATTAACACAACTGTGGATTTGTCTGTTTCTCCTTTCAGTTCACTCAGGTTTTGTGTCATGTATTTTGAAGCTCTATGGTAGATGCAAACACTTTGAGGATTGTTATGTCTTTTTGGTGACTGACCCTTTTACCATAGGTACTATCTCTCTTAATTCCTGGAAATTTCCTTTGCTCTGAAGTCTACTTTGATATTAATACAGACACTTCCAGTTTTCTTTTATTTAGTGCTTGTATGGAATATTTTCCATTCTTCTACCATGCACTATTATATATGAAGTATATTCCTTAGAGAGTATATAGCTGGACTCTGTTTTACATTAAGCCTGACAATCTCTGCCCTGAAATTCATGAGCCTCCTAGGAGCAGGGCTTGCATCTATAATCCCAGCTACAAGGGAGGCTGAGGCAGAAGGACTGCTTGAGGCCAGGAGTTTGAGACCAGCCTGAGCAATATAGCAAGAACGTATCTCAAAAAAAAAAAAAAAAAAAATTGGTGTGTTCACACTATTTACATTTAATGTAATTACAGGCATACCTCAAAGATGTTGCAGACCACTGCAATAAAGCAAATATAGCAGTAAAGCAAGTCACACAAATATTTTTGGTTTCCCAGTACATTTAAAAGTTGTATTTACACTATAGTCTATAAGTGTGCAATAGCGTTGTCTAAAAAAGCAATGTGCATACCTTAATTAAAAAATAGTTTATTGCTAAAAAATGCTAACACTCATCAAAGCCTTCAGCGAGTCGTCGTCTCTCTGCTGGTGGAAAGTCATGCCTTTATGCTGATGGCTGCTGGCTCATCAGGGCAGTGGTTGCTGAAGGTTAGTGTGGATGCAACCGTTTCATAAAACAAGACAACAATGAAGTGTTCACATCTATCGACTCTTCCTTTCACATAAGTTTTCTCTGTAACATGTAGTGCTGTTTGATAGCATGTTACCCATTTTACCCACAGAACTTCTTTCAAAATTAAGAGTCAATCCTTTCAAACCCTGCCACTGCTTAATGAACACAGTTTATGTATTAAATAATATTCTAAATCCTTGCTCATCCACAAGAAGCAACTCCTTACCCACTCAAGTTTATCATGAGATTATAGCTATTCAGTCCTATCTTCAGGCTCCATTTCTAATTCTAGTTCTCGTGTTATTTTCACCACATCTGCAGTTACTTCCTCCCCACTAAAGTCTTCAACCCCTCAAAGTCATCCGTGAGGGTGGGTATCGACCTCTTCCAAATTCCTCTTAAGGTTGACATTTTGATCTCCCATGAATCACAAATGTTCCTAATGGCATCTAGAATCATTTCCAGAAGGTTTTCAGTTGACTTTGCCCAGATCCATCAGAGAAATCACTATCTATGGCAGCAACAGCCTTACGAAATGTATTAAATAGGAAGACTTGAGAGTTGAAGTTAACGCTTGATCCATGGGCTGCAGAATGGATCCTGTGTTAGAGGCATGAAAACAACATTCGTCTCCTTGGACATCGTCATCAGAATTCTTGGGTGATCAGGTGCATTGTCAATGCGCAGTATTATTTTGAAAAAAAATCTTTCTTTCTGTGTGGTAGGTCTCAACAGTGGCCTCAAAATATTCACTAAACCATGCTGTAAACAGATGTGCTATCACCCAGACTTTGTTGTTCCATTTGCTAGAGCACAGGCAGAGGAGATTTAGCATAAACCTTAAGGGCCCTAGGATTTTTATATAGTAAATGAGCACTGGCTTCAACTTAAAGTCACAGCTGCATTAGTCCCTAACAAGACAGTCAGCTTTGAAGCCAGGCATTGACTTCTCCTCTCTAGCTATGAAAGCCCTAGATGGCATCATCTTCTAGTAGAAGACTGTTTCATCTACATGGAAAATCTGTTGTTTAGTGTAGCCACTTTCATCAGTGATCTTAGCTAGATCTTCTGGATGCCTTGCTGTAGCTTCTTCATCAGCTTGTTGCTTCACCATGCACTTTTGTTAGGGAGACGACTTCTTTCCTTAAACCTCATGAACCAACCTCTGCTAGCTTCAAACTTTTCCTCTGCAGATTCCTCAACTCTCTCAGCCTTCATAGAACTAGAGAGAATTAGGGCCTTGCTCTGGATTAAGCTTTGGCTTAAGAAATGTTGTGGCTGGTTTGATCTTCTATCCAGACCACTAAAAATTTCTCCACCTCAGCAATAAGTCTGTTTCACTTTCTTATCATTCATGTGTTCACTGGAGTAGCACTTTTAATTTCCTTCAAGAACTTTTCCTCTGCATTCATAACTTGGCTAACTGTTTGGCTTTCAGCCTATCTTGGCTTTCAACATGCCTTCCTCACTAAGTTTAATCATTTCTAGCTTTTGATTTAAAGTGACAGACATGCGACTCTTCCTTTCACTTGAACACTTAGTGGCCACTCTAGGTTAGTTGGCCTAATTGGGGCAGGGAGGCCTAAGGAGAGGGGAGAGGGAGAGAGAAAGGCCAGCTGGTGGAGCAGTCCGAGAATACACACTGATGAAGTTTACTGTCTCATATGGGCATAGTTCATCGTGCCCCAAAACAAGTACAATGATAACATCAAAAATCACTGATCACAGATCGCCATAAGAGATATAATAATAATGAAAAGTTTTAAGTATTGCAGGAATTGCCAAAACATGACACAGGGACATGAAGTGAGTACATGTCATTGGGAAAATGGTACTGACAGACTTTCTGGATGCAGGGTTGCCACACGCCTTCAATTTCAAAAAACATAGTAACTGCATAGCACAATAAAATAAACCCTGTATTTGTTCTTTCTGGGTTTTTGTTCTTATTTCCCCTTTCCTGCCTTCTTTTGAATTATTTCATTTTATCTACAGTTTTTAATTATCTCTTTGCATCTTATTTTTAGTGACTACTCTTAGGATTTAAAATATAAACACCTAACTTTTCACGGTCTACTCAGAATCGGCATCCTACGACCTCGTGTAGAATGTAGAAACCTGTCCCCAGCTGGTCCCTCCACCCTGCCTCCTGCCTGTTAGAGTTGTCTGTTACATCTACGTACCTTTAAAATCTCATCAGGCATTATTAGCATTTTTGCTTCAACCATTCAATATATTTTGAAGAACATAAGAAGAATACTCTATTATATTTATAATTAACGTTGTTCTTTCTTCATTCCTGATGTTCCAAATATCTATCTGGTATCATTTCCCTTCTATATGAAGAAATTCTTTTAGCAATTCTTCTAGAAAATATCGCTGACAACGAATTCTATTAATTTTAGCTCATCTGAGAATGTCTTTATTTCCCACCTTTGTTGCTGTATGATTCTTGCTGGACACAGAGTTGGTGTCCCGGGGTCTCTATGTGCACTTTTAAAGTGTTGTTCCTTCTTCCTTCTGGCCTCCAGCTTCTGACAAGGAATCTGCAGTCTCCTGAAATACTGTTTCTCTGTAAGTAACACGCCATTTTTCTACGGTTGTTTTCAAGATTTTGTTTCTTTATCTTTAGTTTTCAGCAGTTTGCCTATGATGTGTCTCAGTGTGTTTCTCTGCATTTTTCCCTGGAGTTCACTGAACTTTGCAGATCTGTAGGTTTATGTCTTTTGCCAAATTGGGGAAGTTTTCAGCCATTTTTTCTTCAAATATTTTTTTCTACACCCTACTCTTTCTCCTCTAGTGGGATTCTGATGACACAGGTGTCAGCCTTTTTGGTATGGTCCTACAGGTCAACACTGAGGCTTTATCTACTGCCTTCTAATCATTTTTGTCTCTGTCCTTCAGGTTGAATTTCTATTGATTTATCTTCAAGATCACTGACACTTTTGTCATCTCCATTCTGCTTTTAGGCCATCTAGTGATTTTTTATTTAGGTTATTTTATTTTTCAATTCTAAAATTTTCATTTGATTCTTCTTTTTATCTTCCATGTCTTTACTGAAACATTCCACCTTTCCATTTATCTCCAGAGTGTGTGTTCTTATTTACCACAGCACTTTTATAATGGCTGCTTTAAATACTTTGAAAATTCCGACATTTGTGTCATCTCTGTGTTGGTGTCTGTTATAAGTCTTTTCCCCTAACAAGTTGAGATTTTCCAGGTTCTTTCCATGTCAATTATTTTTAGATTGTTTCCTGGATATTGTGAATATTACATTATGAGACTCCGAGTCTCATTTAAATCCTATGAAGAATGTTGATATTTTTGTTTAGGTAGAATCAACCCAGCGGGTTCAGGACACGGTTTCCAACCAGCCTGCTGTGGGCTGTGGTTTCAATGTTGGTTCCACTCTCAAAGCCTGCGCAGAGTGCTCTTCAGATCTCCCCTGCACCGCTCCAGCCAGCGGGCAACTCTGGGCCTGGGCCGCGCAGTCTCTTCCACAGTTCAGTACCCAAAGTCTTTGGTGTGCCCAAGAGTCAGACCCACACGTGTGTAGCAAACCCAGTGTTCTGTTAACAACTTACAGTGCCACTTCCCAAGCCCCTACCTCGGTGATCTCTCTAGTACCTTCCAGTTCCCTGGAGACCGCTTCCCAATTCTCCGACCAGCCCCGCGGTCTTGCACACTCCCTGCAACTGTGCCTGGACCCAGGCCGAGCAGTGGAGACGGAGTGTGTTAAAAAAGGGCAGGAGTGTACGAAAGAGCCGAAGCTCTCATCCGTCATTACGGGAAGTCAGTGTGCAATGTCTAAATGGACAAACTAAGAAACAGAAGTAGAAGCATAGTATTTTAAAAACAAAGGTAAATACCATAAGTCACAGTTAAAAGTGGCTGCCTTTGATTTTTTTTAAAAGAGACTATTATTTCCTCTAGGGAAAAAGACAGGACTTAAGAAAGAAAACACAATCATGATATACTACATTTTACAGTAAATAACAGTGAAATAATCATAACAACATAAACCACAAAATCGAGCCAAAAATTATGGGATTTTTATAATATTTATATTTTTCTTTGATTGACAGCTATCATTTCTACTCAACTGTCAGTCCCCTGGGGTCAGGGATGTCCATCTGGGAGCATACGTAGGATCTCAATAAAAATTCACTGAACAAACGACTGACCGAGATGAAGGGTTAGCTGGCACAGGGGTAGGGACGAGGCACACCTGGATTTCCATCCACCCAGACTGCACAGGCGCTGGCATCAGCAAGCAGGAAAGGCAGGCAGGAGCAGAGGCGGGCCTTCGCAGTGCGGGACAGCGAATCAAGCTCGTGGCCAGTGTTAGTTCACTGTTTTAGGTCGTTATACCTGCTTGGAGCGATGGTCTCAACCAGGGGCAATTCTGCCCCCTGGGAAACATGTGTCAATGTCTGTGGACATTTTGGGCTGTCACAATTGGGGGATGCTACTGGCATCTAGTGAGTAGAGGCTGGGGATGCTGCTAAACATCCCCCCATGCACAGGAGAGACCCCACACCAAGAACTATCTGGCCCAAAATGTCAACAGTGCCGAGGTTGAAAAATTCTGATTTAGAAAGGATACTCCTTGTGAAAAACGGCAACATTTGATACATCTGTGTCTTAAGATGGGCAAACCTTCAAAACACTCACGTCCCAATATAGTTTACACACTTGAAAAGTGAAGGCAATGTAGCGGCACGATAAGCCTAAAAGTAAGTAGCATGAATACTTATTTACACACCTGCCCAGACTGGGGCGGGGGAGGCAGGAGCGGGAGAGGAGAGGAGCAGAGAGAATAGTGATGGCTTCAGGACTTCTAATGGCAATTTTATAATAAGGGCTCAAACCAGACCATGTGGGAATGCAGCGAAACACGGTCCCATAATGAGAGACATTCCTTATAATATGAAAGCTGTGCTGTCAGCTGTTCCCTCACTCAGGTCCCCAAAGCATTATCCAAATCATAAATAACAGCACTGAACATAATATTTGTTGCTAGCGTCAGCACATGGGTGACATGCTGAAATAACAGGTACAGTCCTTTTACCTTAGAAAAATGAGACAACTGAGTACTCCAAGGCTCCTATTTGCACGCTGAAACGGGCGCATTTTAGGAACGTGAGTAGAAGATGCAAGAGCACACCCCACAGAAACCCTGCTCCAGACATCGGCCAGCCCATGGCCATACCGCGTCACTACTAACGATTCCCCAAGGCCACCAGTGGGGCCAGGGAAGCCAGGGAATAAGACCCTTCACCCATACACTTCAACCTACCCTGCTTTTATTTGCTTTCTACATTGGGGTTCAAAGAACCTTTCATTTCAGAATGGTTTTTTAAACATCTGAGAATCTCTGCTGGGGACCTACCCCTTTGTACATAGCCAAGGCCCAGCAGGAGTTAGGGACAAGTCACAAAGACAAGCCAGGCTGGAAGCCAGACTACCCGGTTCCTACCATGGCACTCGGCCTGTTAGAGAACCTTCTGGCAAAGACCACCTGAGGCCCAACCTATGGTGAATTGTGTAAGTATTTCGTTATATATTACAATGTAATAATAATAAAAATAAAGCACACAAGAAATGTAATGTGCTTGAACCATCCCGAAACCATCATCCCACCCCCCTCACCACCACCCCCAGTCTGTGGTGCCAAAAAGGTTGGGGACCGCTGCGGGTGCACCTAACACACACAGCATATTAGTGGCTCTTGTTGCAAAGTGTGCATAAGTCAGTCACAGGTCCACCAAGTCACCCCAAGAGATTAGCATGTGAACAGCAATGTTACAGGTCCCACAGTAAAACTGGCCTCATCGAGTTCACACGTGACCGTGACTCGGAGTTCATACTCATTTAAGGGCACCTCCATGACATGAAAAACTTCTGTTCGTGAAACATCTGCAAACATACTGTCAACCCCTTCTTCGGAAAATGAACTTGCTACAAGCTCACCAGAGAAGAATCACACATAAAAAGTACCTAATAATTTACCTCTTCGGAGCTCATGCTGGCTGAGGGTACCTTATAGACCAGACAGTGTGAGGGGTTGGGCTGGAGCCCGCCCCGGAGAGGCAAGGCCACCCTCCCAGAACTGGCTTCCAGCGAGGGGTTCCAAACAGCCCAGCGCACCATGTACATATACGCCAAGTTGGACAGAGAGGTGACCGAAGCTGCCTAGAATCAAAACAAAACACACGGGTGTGTGAGTTATCACAAAAGTCACCTGGGCAAGGGAAATCAAAAGCGCTTTCACATGTTAAATTTAACTAGAGCTCAGTGTAGCAAGGTCAGGGATCATCAGTTTCATTTTACGGAAGAAGAAACTGAGGCAGAAGGAGGTCATGCATCCACGGTGCAGACAGAGCAGGTGCCAACAGCCTCCCATCATGAGACCCCAGCAACCTAACCAGGACCCCTTCCTCCCCACGCGAGTCTCCTTTTTCCTGGCTCAAGGCAACACTAGCTTCCCCCTTAAAGATCAATACCGTTTTTATGACTCTCTCGTTCCCACAAGGATCTTTCGGCAGGTTTGCAATCACTCTGTACCTTGCCAACACCTACTCAAACCCACCAGCAAAATGCTAGAACAGCACTCTGAATTACTGATAAGAAACTTTGTAAATTAATAAAGAATGCACATGTATATTCAATTTAGGGTTATTAGCATGTATTTTCTTCAGCAAAGTTTCAGCTTAATATATATTTATATGTATATAACTTATATGAAATTTGGAAATCAATCAAGTCAAATTGCAGGCGTTGTTCCTTCTTTCTCTTTCTCTATGGCTGGCCAAATGGAAGGAATGAGGACACTAAGAAAACCCTTGGGTTAGCAACCACATTTAAAGAAAGTCATTTTCACAAATACGGTTTCAGAGCTTGACTCAGCAAAGAGTTGCAAAATTACCACTTTCATCCATTTATTTAAAAAGAAAGTAAGAATAAAACTAAACTCTGGGTGTTTGCCAGGTACCAAAATCCCGCTCAGCCTGGGCAACGAGGCTTTGCTTTACCACCCCGCGGAGGAGGACCACAGAGACGACCAGCACTGAGCCCAGGCCCTGCTGGTGGATCAGCAGGAAGGCCGCTACTCAGCCAGACGCACTGGGATACAGGGCACACTGGGTCAGACTGGGAGCCCAGGGCAGAGCTCTTTCACTCCCCAGAGCACGGCTGCACCGACTGAGTCACGCAGAGCTCTGTCTCACCCTGCGGACTGGGACAGCTCAGAGGAAGGGGCAGCAGCCAGCCGCTTCCACCTGGGACTCCCAGCCTCAGCAGCCACGTGCAGAGGAAAAACGACCCCAAAACAGTGGGGGAAATGGAATGTGAGCACAGTAGTCCACTCCCTAGTGCTTTCTTCCTGGGCAACAGCGACAGTGGCACCTGCGGGAATGAGGAAGGCAGAAGAACAGGTGGCTCCTCGCTGTCCCTGGGCACCAGGCTTAGGGCTCCTGGGCTCTGCTAAGGGAGCCACGGGCATCCCTCTTAATGAACCCAGGCAGCCGTCACTACCGCAGCCATACTCACAGGGAGCGGGGCGGCCTGGAAGGAGGGGGTGTCCCGCTCTTGGCGAGGAACGGAAGCCCCATGCCCTGCCTGGGATGTGTGTAGAGAGCATCATCCACAGGAGACACATGTGGGGATTTGAGCTGCGTCGGGAGCCAAGGAGGACAGCAGGGTTCCAGCAGTGGTGGCCAGGGTCCCGACGGACCTTGCTGATTTGGCTGGACACGCCAACGGGGAGCAGCTGCGCCACTGTCACTGCCCAGACAAGACTGCACTCAGTCCCGGGCAGATGTACACGCAGCCTCTGGCTGGAGTCCGACACAGACGGCCCCGTGGTCTGCTGGGCTCAGCCACAGCCAAGTTCACGCACAAGCAGATCTGAACACAGAAAAGAAAACGGCATTTGTTTCATCCAAGTCGGCCTCTTCCAGACTGTTCCTGCCAGATGATATCCCATCCTGTTATGTCCTTTATATCCATGTGGGGAAAATCTAGAACCAGCATCTAGTTTTGAATTAATCTCTCTTCATATTGTAACTGGACCTCAAACCATCCATTGCAGCAGCGCCCTTGACTGCAGCCAAATTCTTAATCACAGGTCAGGACACTGCCACATTCTCGCCCCTGTCACAGGCGTGAGTGGGAATTTGGGTCCCTGGCAATTCAATGAGAAAAGACCCACATCCTGGAAGTACATGCAAATGAGAAACGGAAGCATATGCCTCTGCGCCCCACTTTCAGTGTTTGTCAAACACAAATGTATCTGCCTCTCCCCACCCAGCTGGCTGGATGACAGATTTTAAAACAGTATTGAGTGCCTACAGTATATCAATGAAGAAGTGATTAAAAATCCACTGCTTTTTAAAAATAAATTGCTATAGGTTGGTCTGATGGCAGTGGGCTATCAGAACTTACTAACATTAGTATCACTCAAGTTGGTATACAACCCCCTACTGCTAAATTTGACTGGCTTAAAATAAATAAAAGTATTATAAATATATTAGGAAAACCAGTCACTAAAAAATCTGTAAGGGCTCAACAATGTCTAGACTACTTTAATAAATAGTTATCACCTGCAAAATACAAAAATTTATTATTACAGGATCAAAAATGAGATATGTATCCAAGCTTTAATGCTATTTGTGTCACTCCTTCTAGTTTAATTTTTCAAATTGGGTGATTTCAATATCGAGTTTTCCATTTTCGTAGTTCTTTTTGGTTTTTTTTGGTGCTCAATCAATACAAATCTCTTCTGTGTAAAGAATGTGTCAGTTACACAAACAGCCATTTTGACTCACTTTTGTCCTGAACAGCTCTAACAAAAAAGATGGTAAGTTATTGATTCCTCTTGCTGAGACCTCAGAGGGATGCTCGGGGCCTGGTGGCAATCCAATTGCCATGCATTTGTCTGCACCTTCTCACAACTAGCCCACCGTGCAGCCTGTGGACAAGAACCTCCCTGGTTCTCGCTGACTGGGTCCAAGAAGGTCACAGGCACCCAAGCACATGAGCAGAGCAAGAATAATGACTTAATGGGCTCCTACGATCAGTGAATTCTAGTGGCTGAGATTAGATGAGCTACTTTTTAATTTCTTATCCTGCTAAACTTGGATTTCAATTCATGCAAACTGAAAAGAGGAAAAAAAAAACACACTCAAGTGTTCCCATTTAGACTTTTAACTATAATAGCAAATGATATACAAAAGACCAAATGAATACACTTGGATTTGGAGCCAGGCTTTGTGGTGGAACAGAAGTGCTATGCCAGCATTCACCAGGCAAAGCCACAAATCAGAAAACAGACGCTTGACCTTCGGCAATGCTGCAATCCAGAGTCCCTGTGGTGGGCTGAATGGTGTCCTCCAAAAAGATGTGCCTCCAGCCTAATCCCTGGAACCTGTGACTGACTTTTTTGAAACAAGGGTGTTTGCATCCTTGATTACCCAGGTTGGCCCTAAATCCTATGGCAAGTATCCTTATAAAAGCAGGACAGAGAGAGGTTTGAGACAGAGGGAGACACAGAGAAGACAGCCATGTGACAACCAGGCAGAGAATGCAGTGATGTGGCCACAGGCCAAAGACTGCTGGGAGCCACCAAAACCTGCAAGGGGTCAGGAGGCTCCTCCCCAGAGCCTCTGGAGGAACTGGGCCCTGCTGACATCAGGCTTTTGGCCCAGGCAGAACGGATTTTGGACCTATGGCCTCCAGAATTGTGAGAGAATAAGTTCGTGCTGGTTTAAACTAACAAGTTTGTGATACTTTGTTACAGTGGCCACAAGAAACTCATATAGTCCCCTGATGGCTTCTGCCCTCAGATTAACACGAACTCAGAGAAACATTACAGCTTCATGTTATTTCATGAACTTTATTTTCTTCAGGTTTTCAGGGATACTTTTTCACTCCTGCCTGAGTCACCATGCCACTGACCCTGGGCACCGTTCTGCTGGGACCCTCAAGCCCCAGGGACTGAGAACACACAGCAGAGGTGACAGTGGCGTCTGTCTGGGCAGTGCGAGGAGGTCCCACCCAAGCAGCACGAGCGTGCTCCACTGCCCCGAGGCCATTTCCAAGGACGGAGCTGGGCCCATGGGACCGAAGTCTTGATGGAGGTGGCCATATTTGGGCACTTGACAGAACAAAAATTTTAAAAAGACAAACTGTTGTGTCAAAACTCTCTGAAAGTTCCCACTACCACACAAATCACAGAGGAAAGAAGGAGGGGTGGCTTAACGAAACGAAAAAAGAGAAATTTGGTAATTATGACACAGACGAAGGAGGGGACAGGGCACAAGATAACTGTGGAGAGAGAGCTCAGACCCAGGCTGGGAACAAGCACGTCGCACATCCACACGGTCTAGGAGCCACGGGGACAGGCAGGACTGGCTCCGCCAAAGGCACCGCCCTGTGCACATTAGCTCATGTAACCCCCAGAACGGCCCTGTGAGATGACAACCAGGCAGGAGCAGGAAACAACAGCGCCATCAGCCACACACAGGAGGTGGCCTGAGGCCCAACCCAGGTGGCCTAAACCAAGGAACACCTGGGGAGCTGCAGCCAGGCGTCCGACCACTGCTCAATGAGCTGGGCACACGGGCAGCTGACAGTTCCTGCAACTCAGAGCTCAGACAGCCGGCCAAGAGCAAGGCTTTCTTCAGATGACTTGGTTTCTGGCATTCTCCTTGAAGGACACTGGGTTCTTGGCTCCTGAGGTGAACTTCACAAGGCCTGAGAGACGTACCCTCCCCACCCACCGAGGTGAAGAGCTCAGAGGGCAAAAGGCAGCCTCCCAGCGTCCCACCTCCCTTCCCTGCTGCGGAGGAAGGACCAGGCCCAGGGACCACCACACTAGGCAAAGCCACTGCTAGTTCCCCAGTAGAAGTTCACAAAGCAGGTATCATCAGCCTGAAGTTATTCGTTCCATAAAATACATCAATTATATGCCAAAACCTTGCCCAAATTAGATGAACAGAAAACTCAGCAGCTGCTGTAGGCTAATTTCCTTCATACACATTCATGGTGGAGAAGCAAACCTAACAACATATAATTAAAGTCATTTAATCTGCCCATATATGGCACAGTACATGCAGTGTCATTTAAAAGTACAGTAATCATTTAATAGGCAATATTTTCATTCCATTCTCCTGAGTAATTTTTTTTTCTGAGTA